CAGGAATGAACACCAAAATCATAACGCCTCTAGAAGCAAAGTTTTGCCTAAAAGGGTTCTCTCGGGTCCCTGGGATTTAGTGGAATGGGCATTAATGGACTTCGGTGTCCTGTCTGCCAACCTAATTCTCACTGGCTCAGAATTAAGTGCACAGACACTGCCCAGAGCCATCTGAAGGATTCCTTCATGTTCAAAAAGGACTGACTCCTCAAGGTTCCACAATTCTGGTATTTCTATTTTCTCCCACAATTGCAAATAAAATTCTCCCCAGTTATACAGGAAAATGCAATGCTGAAATTTACATTTTTAGTAGGCCGAAAATAAGATACGTTTACTGTTTTCTTTTCCAAAACAATTTTCAGTTTCTACTTAGCTTGGCTTAGACAGGCCAAGGTGAATTTATTGTTCAGACAGAAATTTGGTTTGCTGAAATTATCAGGAAATTATTAGTTACAAGGAGCCTAGTCTATAGATATGTCATTTCTTGCTGATATAAAAACTTAAAAGAAAATCTTTTTGGTCATATTATAATCCAAGCCAAGAATAAAGAGCAGAGTAAGTCTTACTTGTTATCCTCAACTCAAATGAAGAAAAAGTTTTAACATGAAATTAAGCTTAAAAATTTTGTGTGGGATGAACTGGGAGATTAGGTTTGACATAAATATACTACCACGTGTAAAATGGATAGCTAGTGGGAACCTGCTGTAGAGCACAGGGAGCTCAGCTCGGTGCTCTGTGCTGACCTAGATGGGTGGGATAGGGGATGGGGGGAGGGAGGTCCACCAGGGAGGGGATATATGTATATGTATAGCTGATTCACTTCATTGTAGAGCAAAAACTAACACAACACTGTAAAGCAATTATGCTCCAATAAAAAAATTTGTGTGTAAATCACTTTCTAAGCATGTACCTCCTGACTCTCAGTTTGGGACTAGAAAGGTCTTCTCAGGCCATTTTCCAGACAAGTGAGTCCTGATTTGGTCTGTGTGATGAAACCAGACACACAGGAGACCAGGCGAGACAGAGGAATCTGACCAATGCCACGTCCTGCTCCTCCAAACGGGATTTTCTCATCTCCCAGCAAGGAGTTTCTTGGGAGTCAAATGTAGCTCTCTTGCCGGGCCTCTTACTCTTCCTGCCCAGGCCATCATTCCTTACTTTTCTTCTCTGCTACCAGGTGTGGGGTCACCTTTATACTCTGTAAGTAGCTAGCTCCTTGGAGAAAGCAGTAAGTTGATGCTTTCATCAGTAAGAGGAAGTGATGGCCTCTGATAGGGAAGACAAGGGTCTCCCGTTTCCCCTCCCCAAAGTGCTCTGCCTTGAACAATTCCCACAGCGGGAAACTGCCAACTGTGTCCTCTTCTTGAAGGTCCAGTGCAGCGGTCACCAAGAAAAGAATCCCAAGACACAGAGTGGGCAGGAGGCATCTCCTAGACAGGCGAGAGTTCCTGCTCTCTGAATCCTATCTGGAAAGGCTGTCCCTTCCACAATGCTCTTTGATATTTAGAACAACAAGGAGACAAAATCTTTCATAAAGCACTAGTCCCCAGGGCAGCTGAGGAAACATTAAAATCAACCCCAGAGTGAAAGCCTGCCTGCCCAAATCTCTCATTTCCTTGTTTTAATAATGGTGTCAGGGGAAGGCCTCCAAGGGTTCCTTAGGCTGTTTGCATTTTCATTTGTCTAGCAGTGTTGGATTAAGGAGGGAAAGATAAAATTATAAATCTCTGCTAATAAGGGACCTAGTAGGCAGTAGCCATTACCTCTGAAAAACAAGAAAAACAAACCGAGAAACAATAAAACCAGACCCTATGAGATCTTCATGACTTATTTAGGAATAGAGGCTGGCTGTCCCAGAAGCTGAATCTATTAGAACTCCAGGAGGATCATTTCAGCACAGACCTGAAGCCACCTGTCTGTACCGCTGTGCTCTCCAGGTGAAGGGTGTCCCTAGCCCTCAGCCCTACCACCAGTGAGGCCAAAACACACTTGTTCCTGGCCTCCTGATGCCCACCTCTCTCAAGTCCAGACACTGCCCAGCAATGAACACTCCTGTGAATTTTGTGGTAGAAATGAAGTCTCCCTTCCTAAACTTTCAATTTAGATGCAGCAGGGATGCCGGCTAGCCACAGAGCCCCTGGGTTTGGATGCTCACCCTGTGGTTTTCTCCTTTTGCAGATGCCATCTATGACTGCTCGTCTCTCTACCAGAAGAACTACCGCATCTCTGGAGTGTATAAGCTTCCTCCCGATGACTTCCTGGGCAGCCCTGAGCTGGAGGTGAGGTCATCACAGCCCATGTACTAACATCTATCCTCCACCCCCTCAAAGGCTGGGGACAACAGGGCTAGTCACAGTCTAAAGAGAGGGAAACTCAAGACAGAGAAGCAGGGCTTCCCTGGTGGCGCAGTGTTTGAGAGTCCGCTTGCCGATGCAGGCAACCCGGGTTCGTGCCCCAGTCTGGGAGGATCCCACATGCCGCGGAGCGGCTGGGCCCGTGAGCCATGGCCGCTGAGCCTGCGCGTCCGGAGCCTGTGCTCCGCAATGGGGGAGGCCACAACAGTGAGAGGCCCGCGTACCACAAAAAAAAAAAAAAAAAAAAAAAAAGACAGAGAAGCAAACACATCACCACCAGAGAGCTATCTAAACACTCAATTTGTGGGGGAAAAAAAATCCAGGCATCTGTTTTGCTCCTTCAAATCATTAGCAACCAAACACTAAGCCTTCTAACATAGTTAGATAATGCTGTAACCACCACCTAACTAGCTGCGATCCCTTGCCACATCCTATGGCAGTGACTCTTTGGGGAGAAAAGAGAACATATAGGGAGTGTGTCAGAAGGACCTGGACTTTCTCCTTTCAGACTCTCCGTGCACTTGCTCTTATCCTCAATTTTGATCGCAGCAAACCACCAGCCTGCCCAGCTTGCCAACCCTGGGGCAGAATCGTTGCCTAGTGAGCCAGCATGGCTGTGGAAGAGCACATGTCCCCTGGCTCTGCGGGGTGGGAGAAAGGTGGGAAGCCACACTCAGGCTCGCGCTGCCTGCCTCGGCACGTCCTGACCAGGGACGGCATGCCCTCTGCTCCAGGTGTTCTGTGACATGGAGACTTCAGGTGGTGGCTGGACCACCATTCAGAGAAGAAAGAGTGGCCTTGTCTCCTTCTACCGGGACTGGAAGCAGTACAAGCAGGGCTTTGGCAGCATCAGTGGGGACTTCTGGCTGGGGAACGACCACATCCACCGGCTCTCCAGGCGGCCAACCCGGCTACGCGTGGAGATGGAGGTGAGCACGAGACCAGGGCCACCACGCCCAACTGTGTGCAACTCCTGGGCGTCATTCCTACTCCTGTTCGCCATCGGCTGGTGTACTTGTTGTGATGGTTTTCCTGCAGGTTGCAGTACAGTTGAGGAAGAATAGGGCTTTTTTTCCCTATTTTTCACAAAAACAAGGCTGCAGGTACAAGGGAGAGGCCAGACTCAGGCCAGAGCAGAGGAATCCAGCAGTCAGCTGGGCTGAAACACTGTGGTCCCTGCCCTGGCCTGGGGCATGAGGTCCTCTACATGCAAACCTTACTGGTATTGGTTGGTGACCCTCATCAAAGGCCCTGAAGCGTCACTATGTTCTCAGGTTACTCTTATGACATCTCAGAGTGGGATACAGCAAAACACACACACGTGTACACCTTACAGACAGGGATGTAAAGGGGAAGAGAATGAGAGACTAACCAGGGCCATATGGTAACCCAAGAGAGAAGTCTGATCTAGGACCCCTGTTTTCTGATTCCCAGGAGGAGGGGAAGATAAGTCCCTGTGGACGCTTGCAAAAAACTGCCTTAAAATATTCACAGTCAATACAGATATGTCTATTTTTATTTACTTTGTAAGAAAAGGGCTCAAAGAGCTTCCTCTTTTATCTCATGTATAAAAAATGGCTGAAACAGGAAGGTAAATGGCACTATGGTTAAGAAATAATTCATGCTGTATATAAGTGTGTTAAATTCACGCTGTATATAAGTGTGTCAGTGTGTTAAACTAGAGGTAGACAAGTAATAAAGTAGTAAAAAGTAGTAAAAAGGTGTGTGGCTGCAGCTGGGGAGAGGGAAGAGGTGCAGGATGGTATGAAAGGAGGCCCTGCTGCAGTTTTCTAAGGCTCTGCCCCCCGGACAGGACTGGGAGGGCAACATGCGCTACGCTGAGTACAGCCACTTTGTTTTGGGCAATGAACTGAACAGCTACCGCCTCTTCCTGGGGAACTACAGCGGCAACGTGGGGAACGATGCCCTTGTCTATCACAACAACACAGCCTTCAGCACCAAGGACAAGGACAATGACAACTGCTTAGACAAGTGTGCCCAGCTTCGGAAAGGTGAGAGTTGGGGTTGGGAGGTGAGAGTTCAGGTACAAGGGCGTAGTCCCACTGGAGGAGAAAGAGTGAATTTACAACTGCAGTTGGTATTCTGGCTTTGGTACTCCTGTTTGACACTGACCCTAATGGCTTAGGTACAGTTTAACAAGCATCACAAATCCCTGCTGCCTAGTCGACTTGTCAGCTATTTCCAAGGACATACTAGCACTGACCTGTTTCCTGTCCCAGGTGGATACTGGTATAACTGCTGCACAGACTCCAACCTCAATGGTGTTTACTACCGCCTCGGGGAGCACAGCAAGCACCTGGACGGCATCACCTGGTACGGCTGGCATGGGTCTAGCTACTCCCTCAAGCGAGTGGAGATGAAAATCCGCCCAGAAGACTTCCAGCCGTGACGAGAGGCCTGCTCTGGGGCAGGGCTGGAGAAATGGAGACAAACGGAGGCTGGGAAAAGGCAGAGGAGGAGAGGAGGGGAGCATAAGAAGGGCAGCGACAGAAAATGGCCTCTACCACCTTCAGTGAGAGAGGAGGTCTCTCAGGGGAGCAAAAAAACCTATGTACTGAGGATGTTGCAGTAAATGGGAGGAGGTATTTAATTAAACACAATGGGTCCAGACACGGACTTCTCAGGGGGCTGGCCTGAGTGGGCTGTCTGCCTGTGATCCCTGACATAGCAGCAGCTTCTTTTCCACATGATTTTTCTGTGAAAGAAAAATAATTGTGAGTTCATTTTAACCATTTTCCTTAAGGCCTAGATTATGTGAGGGCAGAAAATAAATCCCTTTGCTGAAAAGGACCAGATTATTTTGATTCTCTTGGGTGTTAGAGAAAGGAGTGAAGAGGGTGGTGGAGGGGAGGAGTTTCTGCTTTTAAATCCAATGAAATGACCTTCAGTCCTACACAATTTTCATTTTAAAGACAAAACTTTTTCTGCTGGAGGTGAACGGACCCAGGCTGGAATTGACTGGAGGAAACTCCAGGGCTCTGGGCCTTGCAATTGGCCTCCGAGCAACTCCCCTGCTCGGCCTCGATCAGGGCCCAGCAGTGAGAGGCAGGAAGTGGGTCCAGCAGTGGCAGGAGCTCCAGCGGGAGGGGAAGATAAGTCCCTGTGGACGCCTGCAAAACACTGCCCTAAAATATTCACAGTCAATACAGATATGTCTATTTTTATTTACTTTGTAAGAAAAGGGCTCAAAGAGCTTCCTCTTTTATCTCATCTATAAAAAATGGCTGAAACGGGAAGGTAAATGGCACTATGGTTAAGAAATAATTCACACTGTATATAAGCATTTTGCTTTGCAGAAATACAATATTGTAGTTTGTTTTAAACATTCCAAGTTTCTTCTTCCTTCTACAATAAACTCTTTTAAACCTCGTTCCTTTTAAAATTATTACTATTACCACTGAGAGCATGGTGGAGAATTTTAAGTGAAAAATCAGAGAGTGAGCCATGAGAAAGAGACTCTGAGTGTGTTGCAGTCTTCAGGGAAACCAAGGGAGGAGCAGGAAGCCAAAGACGAAAAAGCGAGGGACAAGAAGGGCAGCAGCATCCACTGGAAGAGGTCAGACAGATCCACCCAACCACCACAGAGGCCAGTGCCACCGCCTGGCTTCAAAACACTCTGCAAACCAACACTCCTACTTTCTACTTGGGCAAACTTACATATACACAGAGGGAAAAGAAACATCTTTAGTCATAACAGATGTCAAATAATTTTGACCTTCAGGAAGCAATTTTTCCTTGTCAAAAAGAACCATTCACTTGAACTAGTCAGTGTAAGGTAAGCGTCATTCTCGAACTCACTATTTTCTACTGTACCTGTAGTCCCTTGATTGTTGGGAACCTACTTAACCTTAAAAACAAGACCCTCAGGATTTTCAGAGAAGTGAAGTGAGTAGAGAAGAAGCACACTGGAGCAGGGCTTCCCACGGGACAGGCAGTCAGACAGAAACTTCCTAAGGCAGGCAGGGGATCTGAGATGCTCATGGGCCAGCACAGTACTGCTTGGAGAGAGGAGAAAAAGATTGGGGGTTAGGAGATGAAGAGAAGGAAGAGCACAAGATGCCTAGGGCAGAAGTAGCTAATAATCTTCTCTCATCAGCTCTACACCCCACAACTAAAGAAAACTGAGGCTCCAGGCAACAAAAGCTAAAATAAACTAAGTGGGACTACCTCAAACTAAAAAGCTTCTGCACAGCAAAGGAATACAATCAGTAAATTGAAAAGACAATCTACAGAATGGGAGAAAAATATCTGTAAACCATAACCCAGGGTTACTATCTAAAATACGTAAAGAACTTACACAACTGAATAGCAAAAAAGCAAATAATCCAATTTAAAAATGGGCCAAGGACCTAAACAGTCCATTTTTCCGAAGAAGACATCTAAATGGCCAATGGGTACATGACCGGGTGCCCAACACCACTAATCATCAGGGAAATGCAAAGCACAGCCACAATGAGATATCACCTCACACCTGGTAGGATGACGATTCTTAAAAAGACAAGACATAGTAAGGGTTGGCAAGGAAGGGGAGAAAGGGGAGCCCTTGTGCACTGTTGGTGGGAACGTAAAGTGGTGCAGCCACTACACCACTATACCAGTCTGGCGGTTCCTCAAGACATTGAAAACAGAAGTACCACGTGAGCCAGCAATTCCATTTCTGGATACACATTCAAAGGAAACAAAATCACTATCTCAAAGAGATATCTGTACTCCCATGTTCATTGTAGTATTATTCACAATAGCCAAGATACGGAAACAACCTAAAATGTCCTTCAAAAGATGAATGGATAAAGAAAATGTGAAATATAGTTTATGTATATATATATTATGTGTGTACATATATATGTACACACACACATATAACATACACATAATGGAATATTATTCAGCCATAAAGAAGGAAATTCTATCATTTGTGACAACATGGATGAATCTAGAGGGCATTATGCTAAGTAAAGTAAGACAGAGGAAGACAAATACTATATAGTACCACTTATATATGGAATCATTTTTTAAAAAGCTGATTTCATAAAAACAGAATAGAATGGTGGTTGTCAGGGGATGGGAGAATGGGGAAGCAGGGAGATGTAGGTGAAAGGGTACAAACTTTCAGTTGTAAGATGAGTAAGTTCTGAGTATCTAATGCACAGCATAGCAACTACAGCTAATAATATAGTTTTGTATATTTGAAATTTGCTGAGTAGATCTTAAGCATTCTCACCACACACACACAAAGAAGAGTTAACCATGTGAGGTGATGGATGTGTTAATTACCTTGATCTCAGTAATCATTCCATAATGCATATCAAATCATCAGGCTGTATATTTTAAATATATACAATTATATTTGTCAATTACTCCTCAATAAAGTTGGGGTGGGGGACAAAACATCTATATTACACTAATCAAAACCTATAGGTGCTGAAATTTACTCATACTTTTATAGATACACAATTGAATAACTGAAGTATAAACTTTTTGTGACAAGGTTAATGTCAAAAAAAAAGTCACCATATGTGGTATTTTAGAAATCGACATTCAAAGTCCAATTTATTTGGGCAAAAACATGATTCTATTTCTATCCTTTTTTTTTTTTTTTG